ACCCCATGGAAGGGGGGAACCCTTCAGTACCCCCTCAGCCTTCCCAACCCCTGAAATCTTTGGGCACTGGGTCACCTGACCTTGATGTTGCCTGAGAGCCTGCCCCACGTCCACAGGGCAGACAGGCTGCAGCCACCTCCTGGGACAGGGGCCAGAGAGGGGCTTTACACACTAGACCTCCTGTCCCTCCCAGCACCCCTGCAAGGAGCCCCAGGGCCCCAGATAACAGATTCTGCCCCTTCGCGACTTTTATCACAGTGTAACAGGATAATTGAGCAGTGCGCTGTGTGACTTCTACACCCTTGGAGAATGGAGTCCTACCCATACCTCATGTGACACATTCCGATTTACTAGCTAATCTGTTGTTGAGCACGTGTCTTTCCGAACAGAAGGTGAGCTTCCCAGTGTCAGGCACAGTGTCCCTTCACCCCCTGTCCTGAGCTAAGTGTCTGTGAGGGCGGCCAAGGGAGGCAGAGGCAAAATATCCGCTGACCAAGGAGTGCGTGGCCACCAATGCTCCCATATTACAGGTGAAGAAACCGAGGCTCAGATGAGGTGACTTGCCGGGTTCCCAGCGCTACGGAGGGGGAGAGAGGGGAGGGACCCAGTCTGCTCAGCACAGACATGCATCTTGCTCCACAGCAGGAACCTCTTGGTAAGGGTGCCCTGGTGTCACCTGGGCTCTGGCTGTGCCTGTACATTTATTGTGACCCATGGGGACACGCCCTCTCCTCGTGGGGTGCTTCTCTGGCTGGCCTGTTCCTCCGACCCCAATGTCCCTCCTCCAAGGCAGAGCACTGGGAGCCCCGGCCCAGGGCAACCTTTGCGGGCATGTGTCGAGGCTCTCGTCCCAGGAATGGGGACAGCACAGCCCACCTCTGACCCCGGGCACTGCTGGCCCCAGGAGGAGCAGATATCTGGGGGAAAGATGGGGATAGGCAAGAGGGATCTCAAACCCCAGGTCTAACGTCCCAGCAATGGGCCTCAGTCCCAGCTGATCTGTCCAGCGGGGAAGGCGGGGAAGGGGGGGGGGGGCGGTTGAAATGTCTCCATCTGTCCTCACACATCGGACAGGAGAGGATCTGTGGGGCTCCTGGTGTTGCCTGGCCTCTGGCTGCCTCAGCCCTTAGCCAGTGGTGGCGGCTCAGCATCAAAGGTCCAACAAGCTGCTGGCAGTCCCAGGACAGCTGTTCTTCCGGGGGGGGGGGGGGGGGGGGGGAGGAGGCAAGGGTTTGGGGCCACAAAGAGTGGTGGCGCCTGTTTGTCACTCCTCCCTGCCCAAACTCCCTCCCATCAGTCTCTTCCCCGTCCACAGATCCAGTCCCAGTCTGTCACACCACAGAGTTGATTTATTTTTCTCGTGGCCTTGCTCTCGGTGGGGTTAGAGAACAGCATGTCATCACCCTCTCTAAATATTACTGTTCCGCAGAGATTTGACAAATGTGACTCATCACCCTTCCACTAGCCAGCTAGAGAATCCCCAGGCCTTTCTTTGTTGATAGGAGGGTGATAACAATCATAATGATAACAGCAAAACAATGGCTGCTCCCAATTACTGACCACTCCGTCAGATCCTGTGCTAAGCACTCTCTGAGTATTACTTCATTGACTCTTCACAACCCTATGATTAGGTCCTCTTCCCAGCCTATTATGCAGATGAAGAAACAGGGTTCAGAGTGGCTCAATGCCTACAGCTAGGCCTGGTCACACAGCCAGGAAGCTGCCCAAGCCCAGGCCTAATCACTGCGATGTCACCCTCCACCGGCTTCTCAACCCCCAACCCTAGCCAGAATCCAACCCAAAAAGAGACTGGAGCAAGCAAGGTGTCTCCATCGAGAGCTGCACCCAGCGCTGCTAATGGAAGAGGGACCCGCCCAGCAGGACATTTGCATATGATCGCTTGCGGCTGCCTCTGATGTGCATCAGCCACCGCCAGCCTGGCCACTTCAGTCAGAATCACGTCTGTCCCCGTGAAAATGATGGCATCTTGGTTTCTCTCTCCTTTCATCTCTTTCCTGATTGCTGCCATCAGTCCTAAGCACGTCTGAGAACAGAAATGCCTGCACTGTGGCTGGGGTCTGCTTCTCGCCATGCGGCTGCTCACGGCACCCTGTGATCAGGGCACTGTTCTCTTCTATCAGCTCAAGGTCACAGCCTCTCGGGGTGGGGGGGGGTGTCACCCCAGGTGGGCCACTTCTTGTGGTGGTGGAGTCAGGCTCTGAACGAACCCCCTTGCTGGAGGGCTCCAAAGCCAGCAATTGTGGGATGGATGGGAGGATAGGGGGGGTGGGCAAGGGACTGGGCAGAGGCAGAGGGGGCAGATGTGCCAGATGTGTTAGCCAAGCCAGGCCATGAGCCTTTGCCTTGGATGATGGACTGTTTCTGAGCCAGTTCCCTTTGTGTGTGTGTGTGTGTGTGTGTGTGTGTGTGTGTGTAATTGATTTCAAAGAGGAAGAGAGAGGGAGAGATAGAAACATCAATGATGAGAGAGAATCACTGATTGGCTACCTCCTGTACACCCCCTACTGGGGATCGAGCTGCAACCCAGGCATGTGCCCTTGACCGGAATAAACCCGGGACCCTTCAGTCCGCAGGCCGACGCTCTACCCACTGAGCCAAACCAGCTAGGGCTCCACTTGATATGTTAATGGAATCTGTTGAAAGCTCCGCTGTGCTAAGAGCAATCAAGGGAAGCACCTTTCGTCCATGCTCTGCCAGGAACAACGCCAGGGTCAGTGAGGGGATTTGAAGGTGGGACCAAAGAGAAAATTCTGGAAGGGGGAGCTCGGGGCTTCGAACGTGTTGGGACTGCTTGGCAGGTTGCCCCTTCCCACCTGAACCATGGGATTTGTTCTAAAAGGGAAGGCTGTTTCTTACATGTCACAAGTGGAGTCCCCCAGGCTTTAGGGGCTGCCCTCAGACAGGAAAGGTCCCCGGTGGGTCCTCAGTCCTGCACATACCACACGCACACAGGCACACACACACAGAGGCACGCACATGCACACCATACACATATGTGCGCACGCACACACACATGCACACCATACACACAGGCACACACACAGATGCACATCATACACACAGACACACACAGAGATGCACATCATACACACAGACACACACAGAGATGCACATCATACACACATGTGCACGCATACACATGCACAAACGTGCACACCATACACAGAGGCACGCACATACATACCATAAACACATGCACACACACACACACATGCACACCATACACACAGGCACAGGCACACACAGATGCACACACATGCACATGACACACACACACACGTGCACACACACAGAGATGCACACACATGTATACCCACACATATATGCACATACACATGCACACCACACACAGGCATACACACACACACACACACATGCATGCTGGAAGCCAAACCTCTCTTCTCTGCATCTCCTCTTGGCCTGGGAGCTCCCCACAATTTTTCCCCACACAATCTCATATGAACTCCTCTCTCCTAGGCATCTGAAAACACCTGTCCAGGAATCAGGCTGTGTAAAAACTCGTATCAAAAGCTTTCTGAGACTAATTCTCCTACTTATCCAGCTATGAGATCTTAGACAAGTTCATCTCTGTGTCTGTTTCCTTACTTGTAAAATGGAGATAATAATAGTACCAACTCCTTATATTTATTGTGGGAACTAAGTGAATATATGAAAGCTCTTAGAATAATGCATGGGCTACAGAAATCTCTCTACAATATTAACTACTGGTATCGATTATTCCACCGCGGGAGGACAGAGGCGGGCGTGAGGAGGAGAAAAGGAAACCAACAGTCAGAGCTGCCTACCAAGGCCGGGCCCCACGTCCGTCTCTGAGCTCGGTCAGCTGAGCTCTCAGCCCGAGGATACCTCCTGGGCATGGAGACCCGGTAGGGCAGCCTTCCTCCTGACAGTGGGGTGTGGGTGGGCCTCAGGGGAGTCGGGATACCCCCAAACTGGGAGCAAAAGTGTTGTGCAGGTACATTTTTCTCCCAAGAGCTTCAAGTCTGTTGGAGAGATGGACAGAGGACATGCAGACAGAAATGACAGTCAGATACTGGGAACGTGGCGATTCTGCCTGCTCGGCAGGAAAACACTGGTCCCTGCCACCGCTGCAGCCGCCAGCCTCACCGTGGATGCATGTGTGAATGTGTGTGACTTAGATGATTCCATTTAACCCCTTTATTGACAATGCAGCTCACGCCGACAAAGGGCTCTCTCTACACCAACCTTAGAGGACTCATGGGTCCTGGGAAAACCTGCCCAGGGAGAAAGTAACTCTCCAGGCAGAGAGCTCCTTTCCTGGGCATAGGGAGGATTATCGGCCATGCTGGACGGAGGCCACGGTAGTGCATCAGGTCCCCGTGGAAGTCGTAAGCAGATTTTGCACTCTATTAATCTGCATCTGTTTGCACATCACTGCTGTCAGCAGCATCTGTCCAGGGAAGAGCAACCCAGCAATGGAAGGAGCATGGGCTTTGGGTTGGGCTGGCTTCATCACTCCTGGCTGAGTGACCTTGGGCAAGGGTCTTCATCATTCTGAGCTCGGTCTTTAAACCGGGGATGCTGATAAGGGTCCCACCTTGCAGGTTGTCAGGAGGATTAGCAATGAGGTGGCAGCGCTGGCACCGTGCCTGGCACACACTGGCTTAGAAGCTATGGAAGCTGCTGGATGGTGATGAAGATTGAGATGATGGTGGAGACACCTGTACTCTCTCTCCCTTGTTAGGCTAGCAGTTTCCCCAACAGCTGGTGGTATCGCTTTCTCCCTTTTCCTTCTTCCTATCTCCTCTCTCTGCTGCCTCACCTCCCCCCACCCCAAAAATCATTCACCTTAACAGATCTAGAGGGGGGCCCACACATTCCAAAGCCACCAGACCACCCTGGTGGGCGGTGCCCCCTTGAGGGAAGAGTGGGAACACCCATCGCCTCCGTTAGGGCTCTGTCTTCCCACCTGCCCTTGCCCCCAGCCTCACTCCTACCTCACGTTGTCATGCTTCTGGATGTAAATCTTATGGAACATCATATCCTCCTGCTTGGCGTTGATGTCTGCTTTCATCTCCATGGCAACATGACGGGGAAGGACAGATAGCAGGAGCCGCTCCTGGGGAGGGAAGCAGATGCTTTCGTCTCAGTTCCTTCCACCTGCCTGGCAGTCAGGCCCCTCTCCTCTCCAGGTGGGCTCCTCCACACCTGTGCCCCCACCTGCAGGAAAACCCCTCAGACTCTCCTCAAACTCATGGGACACCTGCCGGTCCTCGGCGCACACGGGGAAGGGGCTCCTGGTGGCCCTGCAGCGCTGAGCTCCTGAGCAGAATCCTACGTGTCGCCAGGGACGGTGTGACCTTGGGCAAATTATTGGGCTTCTCTGAGCCCCAGGCTCCTCACCTGCCAATAGGGACAGGGTTGTTGAGAGCGTGAAATCCATCCAGTCAGTCATCAAGTATTTATTGAGCATCTGCCATGTTCCAGGCAATGCGCTGGGTGCCAGGAGTCATACTGTGAACTAGACCGTGAGCTGGAACCTCCTTCACGAGGTTCCTGGTGAGGGAGTGAGCCCTGGGCAGGGGTGCCCGAGGAAAAGCCGGAGGTAACAGGAGGCTTTGTGGGACCAGAACAATGAGGTGAGGAGGGCACTCCATATTCGAGCAGGAGACAGTGGCCCAGGAGAGAGGGAAGGCGCTTTGAGAAACAAGTTAAAACCTGTTGAGGAGGTGGGAGAGAAGCAGGGAGGGGGCCAGAGCCTCGCTGTGGACGAGGAGGGTCCTGGAGCCTGTGTGGGGCCTAGACCTTGCCCTGATCTGGGTTCTCCTCCAGGCCTGCCTGCTCTGAGAGGCCCAGCTGCTCCCGGCGGTCGGCCTCTGCCTGCTCTCTCCACAGCCCACTGCCCATGCCAGGCTCACTCTTGGAATTCTCCCATCAGGAGCCTTTCAGCCTCCACTCTCGTCGTCCTGCTGTCCTTCACTGGCTTCCCCACCCCTCGAGTGGTCCTGAGACTCTTCTGGCCCCTCCCCCGCCCCCTGGCCCCAGGTGAAAATTACCAACATCTGCTCACTCCTGCCCTCTGGGGGTGAGGCTTCCTCCAGCACCTCTGTGGGCCCCTCTCACCCCCTATCTCCCATCCAAGGCTCCAGAGTCTCCAGCTGCCCACCCGATGTCTGGTCACTTGACCCCATGCCCTAGACCACACTCGCCTTCCGTGGTTTTTCATTCCTCAGTGCCTCCTCATTTCAAGTCCCCTGCCATGCCCATGACACCCCCATTCTTCTGATCCCCAAAGGTCAAGACCCTGCCCATGTAACTGCTCTTACTTCTCAGAACTCATAGACTGACCAGGTCCTACTGGTTTGGACACAAGCTCCTGGACTTGTTCTGTCTGTTCTGCATCCACCTCCACCATCCACATGCAGTTCTCACCTGACGGTGGGATTCTCACGCCGCCTGCCAGACAGCCACTCCTCAGCCCTGTGCGGCCGCCTCTCCAGTACACGACCCTTCTCATGTCACTCTCCTGCTCCAAACTCCAAAGCTCCCCTGGGCTCCACCAGACACATCAAGTGTGGATTCTTCTGGACTCACTGAGCCCACTCCTATTTTCCACTCCACCCGCCGCCTTGCCTGCCCTGACACGCTCCCACCCGCCCAGACCTGGCTGCCGTCCTTCTTCCAAGCACCTCTCCCCACCCCCGCCTCGGCCTCTAGCAGGTCTAGGCCTCCTTCAGATCAGCCTCTAGCAGGCTTAGGCCTCCTGCTGGTCGGCCTCTAGCAGGCTTAGGCCTCCTGCTGATCGGCCTCTAGCAGGCCTAGGCCTCCTGCAGGTCGGCCTGTAACGGGTCTAGGCCTCCTTCAGGTCCAGCCTGGATGACAGGTGGCCTCCGCCCACACTGGGGGCTCTGTCTCAAAGCTTGCCACCTTTGATCTATCCTCCACTGTAAGCCAGCGAGTGATCTTCCTAAAACACACACCTGACCATATCGCTGGCCCAAATAAAACCCTCCTATGCCGCTGGAAGCTTGCAGAATCAGCCCACGCCCCAACCTGGCCTCAAGGTCTCCAGGATCTGGCTCCTGTCTCCCTCCCACTCCTGTGCTCCCCTCCCAGCAACCCCTGAACGGAAATCTGCACTCTGCTCCAGAGAGAGGAAACCAAGCTTCTGGTGGCTTTTGTACACAGCCCCTCAGCTAGACTGACCATCCTCACACACACAGGCTCACTGCCTCCCCAGGATGGGGTCCTGGTTTGGGCTGTCAGCATCCCCTCCCCACCTGGGCCTTCCTTAGAGCCCTGCTCACTCTGCATTTCAATGACCTATGCACCTGTTTCCCTTCAGTGTGAGCAGTGAGACACCTCCCTGGGATGGAGCTGTGTCCTGTTCCCCTCCACGGCCCCCAGCCAAACACTGGGCCACTGGTGAGGGATGCTGCTTCCTGTGGTGGGCCTGGTCTCTCCAGGCGTCCGTGAGCATGGCCACCGAAGGCCATCTCACATTTACCGAACTCGCAGCGAACAGTCATTGGTGGCAGAAACACAAACTAAAGGATGAGCCGGTGAAAATATCGGATGGCTGGGAGAATGTGTGCTACAAATTGTGTAGGTTCAAATCGTGTAGTCATCAACTCTGCTGATGACGTCTTCAGAGGCTGAGGGTCAGGAGTGGGCAGAAGGCGGTCGGGGAATCATGCCAAGTCCCCTGGTCATGCAGCACCTGGGAGAGTCACCCTTCCTGTCGCAGGCGAGACCGAGATCTGCTGGTGAGGAGCGCCTGTCCCCATGAAGCACACCACACCTCCCCGCCCCGGAAGCTTGGCTGGAACATGGTGCTGCAAACCTATTTTCTCCCCCAGGTCCCTGTGGATTTGCTGGAATGCCCGGCCTGGCCAGGGCCAGAGCAAGTAAACTACGTGAGCTGTAAAGTGCAGATTTTACTGGAGAAGGGCAGGTGCAGAAGTAAGAGGGACAGTCCCTGATGTGGAAAGAGGAGGATGGTGTCCTGCTCCAGAAGAGAGGTGCTGGGCCGGGACCTGAGGCGAGAGAGGGGGATGTGAGGCATGCTGGGGCTTGGGAGTGAGGGGGGTGCAGAGGTGAGGTACCCTGGTCAAGGAGACAGTGGGACCTCTCAGGGACACCGCCAGGCCCAAATTTCCTTCAAGAGGCAGGACCAGGAGCCCGACCGGGCCGGGAGTACATGGAGCAAGGCTGGTCTCCCCCAGACAGCAGGAGCTGGGACCTGGCTAGATGAGACACAGGCTGGAGGGAAGCTGACACAAGTGGTGACTGAGGAGGGGGCGGGGCTGTGGAGACACCTCGGAGCTTTCTCCCCTTGCTCAGCTGTCTGGATGTCACCAGCCTGTATCCCTGAAACTCCCCTAGGATACAGCCAGACAGTCCCTCACGTTGCGGTAAAACTGCTGTGCACTCAGGGCCCACAGCACGCACTCCCTGCCGGCCAGGGAATGCTGACACTCTCACAATCCACCTCATCAGCCTCTGGGGAAGGGGAGGGGAAGGGGAGGTGCCTCTCTGCTGCCGGACCTGGGCTGCCCAGCTTATTTGCAAAATCCCAGGGGGGCTGAAGAGGCAGTGGGCCAGCACGGGGGTAGAGCCCTTCCTTCAGGCTCTCCTAGAGCATTCCCACAGAGCCAGGAATGTGGGCGCCCTCCAGGAGAAACATTCCCGGGCTGGGCCCCCACCCAGGGAGGTGGGGCTGGGCAGCTGTTGGAGCCCAGCTGGTGGGGAGGTCAGTCTGGAGTCTGCTCCCTGCCAGCTGTGCAGAGGCAGGCGCTCTCTCACCTGCTGCTGGTTCTCCCGCTGAGAGTGGAGTCGCGCCTGGATGCACTCCCGGGTCTCCTGGAAGGCTTGTCTCTGGGAGACCTCGGCCGGGTAGTGGGTGCAGACGCCCACGATGTTGGTGCAGGAGAAAATGAGGACATTGGAGACGAGCTGCAGAGGGAGAGATGAGGAAGGACACCGTGCTCAGGCCTGGAGCCGACACCAGTCATTGGAGCCCCAGCCCTGGCCCTTCCAGCCCCAGAGCACGCGGCTCCCAGGCCCCATCTTAGCAAACACACACTCAAATGCCAGCAGACAGATGCCAAGGAACCTGGGAGCGGCCAGGCTTTGTTGGTCGGACTCTCTGATGTCCTCAGAGCCCACAGCCTGTGATGGCGTATGGCCCTAGGGACACCGAGCACGCTAAACGTGTCCATAGTACCAAAGGTGGAAAGGTTAGGTGCACTGGGGATTCTGTGACTGCCTGGGTGTGTGCTGGGGGTGCAGGAGCCTGCAAGGAAGGCTCCATGAGGGTGGCGGGACGTCAGTTTTGGAAAGTGTGATAGCGTCCAGCATGAACAAGGGCTGCCCTTTTGCAGAGAAGCTCTAGCTCATTACTCCCTAGGGATCAGCGGCAATGAAACAATTACTGACGCTCGCCGTGAGCTCCCAGCACTGTGCTAACGAGAGAAGGAAAAGGTCCCTGGCGATCAGGGCCCACAGGGGGGGTCTCGTCTCCTCTCCCTAGGCTTCCATTCTTCCTCTGCACCAGCACCAAGGCCCTCGGCATCCCACCACACCGGCTGGCGAACACCCCCCCCCCAACCCCCTGCCCCTCACCGATGCCCTTCTCTGTGCTGACTGGGATGTGCCTGTGGAAAAATACCACTGCCCCTCGGGTCACGGGGACAAGGTTGGAATTCTTTTGAAAAGATTATTGACTGAAAAGCTACAGGGAAACAAAACACAACACAAACCACAAGAGCAAGTTGACATGGTACATTTTAGATACCGACAAAGGTGCTGTTTAGCCAAGATTTCTTTTGGCAGGTTCAGTCCCGGGGTATCTGGGTAAGCTATCCTGGTCCTGCCCTCTCCTCAGGCCACACAGGCCACACAAACGCTCGGACTTCTAGGCCTCGAAAATTGAATGTCAGACTCAACTGCAGAAGGGGAGCCCAGGCCGGGCCTGCCCCTTGCACTGTGGTCCCTAGTCCTCTTGTCCATTTCGATCTTAAACGACTTCCTCTGGGCACCAGCCGCCTGACAGTGACCCAGCAGGCGGCCCCCCTCACTCTTCTCCCAGGGGCCGCTTTGTCTCTAGGACAGAGGTCCTGCTTTGACTCAGGGCTGTGTTGTGCCTGAGGCTTTCCCCCACCCCGGCTCTGAGGTGGTCCAGACCATGCGGGGTCCTCAGCCAGCCCAGGCCTGGAAGCCGCATGGACTCCATGCTGGATGTGGGGCCATTTCTCCCCGAGACATTCTGGAACGCATCTGCCCCAGTCCATGAACAGGAGGGGACTGTCTCCTTCCCATCTCTAAGTCTTGCTCTCTCCTCGGCTGCACAGTAAATTCTGGTTTTCTGGCCAAAAGATACCTCCCAGGTACCGTCAGGGAAGGGGCAAACTCAGATTATCAGCTCTACCAACTCTGCTGATGACTCACAGCCCCCACAACCCACCCCAAACCCCATCCACCCTAGAATCCTATCATTATCATTTTACGTAAACATGTGGCAGAAAACCCAGTCTATTCACCACAGGAAAGAAGACCCCTGCTCCACAGAAGCTGACAATCTAAACGAGGAGATAAGTAGTCAAGACTGGGAATGAAGGACCGGCAATAGGAAGCATAAACTGACTCATACCAGAGCAAGAGGGAATGCGGGGTACTGAGAGACCTCTGGGCAGGTCTGGGGCGCACTGGGCCTGGGTTAGAGATATGTTTGGGGAGGCTGACATGCATGGGAAAGGGCCTCCCTGGAGAGGGTACCCAGGAAGAGACCCTCAGACCAGGGAGGAGACAGCCCAGGAAAGAGGTCTTGTCTGCAGCATTCACCCATGCTGTGACACGTCTCTAGTAGTCACCAGGGACCACTGAGGGAGGGCTAAGAGAAAGTGAGATGAGGAGGTGAAGGCTGAAGATACAGGTGACAGGGAATTCCAAAGAATGCTCTAGTTAGGAGACATCTTTTGAAAGGAGAGAGGAAGGTGCCAGGTGACAAAAACAGGAGTGAGATATAATAGGGGAAAACTAAAAGCATTTCCCTTAAAATCAGGAACAGGACAGGGAGGTCCACTTCCACCACTCTTACTGAACATAGTACTGGAATCAGCCACAGCACTCAGGCAGGAAGAAATAAAAGGCATCCGCACTGGGAAGGAAGAACTGACACTGTCGTTATTTGCAGATGACATGATACCGTATATAGAGAACCCTGAAGACTCCACCAAAAATCTACCAGAACTGATAAATGAACTCAGTGAAGTAGCAGGACACAGAATAAATATTCAGAAATTGGTTGCATTTTTATACACCAATAATGAACTATCAAAAAGAGAAACCAAGAAAACAATCCCATTTACAATTGCGTCCTAAAAAAAAAATAAAACTACAAAATCTGGGAATAAATTTAACCAAGGAGGTAAAAGCCCTGTACTTGAAAAATTGTAAGTATTGAAGTAAGAAAATGAAACAAATAAATGGCAGCATTATATAGTGCTCATGGATAGAAAGAATCAACATCATTAAAATATCTATACTACCCCAAAGCAATCTATAGATTCAACATAATTCCTATCAAAATATCAATAGCGTATTTCACAGAACTAGAGCAAATACTAATCCAAAAATCTTTATGAAACCACAAAAGACACCCAGTAGCCACAGCAATCTTAAGAAAGAAGAACAAAGTTGAAGGTATCATGCTACCTGATAATCAAACTGTACTACAAAGCTATAGCAATCAAAACAGCATGGCACTGGCATAAAAATATATAGAGAGACCAATGGCACAGAATAGAGAGCCCAGAAACAAACCCACACTTATTAGTATATTGTCAATTAATATTTGACAAAGGTGACAAGACATATAAGGTGGGGGAAAAGCAGGTTTACAGCTGTGACTATGCAAAACACAGTCCTATTCTTGTATTATTATTTATTGATTATTGTACTATTTTTCCATTTGGACAACTGTACTAGTAAACCTACTTTCCCCCCAGTATGTACAATGGGGTAAAGACAGTCTTATCAATAAATGGTGTTGGGTAAATTGGACAGATACATGCAGAGGAAAAAAAAGAAACTAGACCACCATCTTACATTATATACAAGATATAAAAAAATAAACTCAAAATGGATTAAAGTTTTAAATGTAAAACTTGAAAGCATAAAACTCCTAGAAGAAAACACAGGCAGTAAAATCTCTGACATTTCTCTTAGCAATATTTTTTCTGATAGTTCAAAAGAATATATGCACCCTTATGTTCATTGCAGTGTTATTTACAATAACGAAGACTGGAAGCTGCCCAAGTGCCCATCAATAGGTTGAGTGGATAAAAAAGCTGTGGTACATTTACACAATGGAATATTACTCGGCCATAAAAATAGAAGAAAACCTTATTTTTGTGACAGTATGAATGGAGAGCATTATGCTAAGTGAAATAAGCCAGTCAGAGGAAGACAAATCCATATGATTTCACTTATATATGGAATCTAATGAACAATATAAATGAACAAACAGAAACAGACTCACAGATACAAGGAACAGACTGATGGTTGCCGGGGAGGAGGAGGTGTGGGGGACTGGGTAAAAAAGGTGAAGGGATTGAGAAGTACATATTGGTAGTTACAAAATAGTCATGGGATGTAAAGTACAGCATAGGGGATATAGTCAATAATATTGTAATAACTGTGTATGGTGCCCAGAGGATACTGGAAATATTGGGGGGAACATTTTGTCTAATCACTATGCTGTACACCTGAAACTAATAACAAAATAATACTGAATGCAAGCTCTAATTGAAAAACTTTTAAAAAAAAAAAAAGTTTTTTTAAGGAAAGTAAAAAGACAACGACAGAATTGAATTATCTGCATATCAGATATTCCACCTTTATTTTTGACAAGTATATAAAGGCAACTAATGGAGAAAGGATAATCTTTTCAATATAGGGTGCCAGAACAATTGGATATCCATATGATCAACTCAAGTCTCACAAAATATGCAAAAATTTCCTACTAATGGTTCATAGGCCTAAATGTAAAACCTGAAACTATTAAACTTCCTGAAAAAATATAAGACTTTGAGTTAGGCAAAAAAAATTTTTATGTATAACAGCAAAATCATGAAAGGGGAGAAACTGATAAATTAGACTTCATCAAAATGAAGAACATTTGCCTTCAAAAGGCACTGTTAAGATAATGAAAAGATGAGCCACAGATTGGAGAAATTACTTCTAAATCATATATTTGATTTAAAAAAAAAAAAGATTTGTGCCTACACTTCATAAAGAACTCCCAAAAGTCAACAATAAGAAAACAAACAGCCCACTTTTTAAAAGAGCAAAAGATGTGAGTAGACAATTCACCAAAGAAGACAGAAGGATGACAAATAAGCACATCGGAAGATGCTCAAAATCATGAGCTATCAGGGAAATGGAAAAACAATGAGATACTACTCAACACTATTAGAAAGGCTAAAGAAAAGTAAAATTTACAAATTAAAAGAACTAAGAACTGCCAATACTGTTACTGGAGCAACTTGGAACTCTCACACCTTGCTAGAAGGAATGAAGAATGGTCCAGCTTCTTTGGAAAACAGTGTTGATTTCTCATAAAGTTTCACATACACTTGCCATAGGACCAGCAACATCACTCCTAGGTACTTGCCAAAATGAAAAGTTATGTTCACACAAAAGTCTGTGCAGGAATGTTTATAAAATGGAACAACCTAATAATAGCATACGTCCATGATTTTTAACTGGTGTGCAGCAAGAAATTTTTTTAAGTGACTATCATACCTGTTCGTTCGTTTTTTAATTGATTTCAGAATGGAAGGGAGAGGGAGAGAGAGATAGAAACATCAATGATGAGAGAAAATCCCTGATCGGCTGCTTCCTGCATGCCCCCTACTGGGGATTGAGCCCACAACCCAGGCTTGTGCCCTGAC